ATATATTTAATATCAAATTTTATAAAAAATTACATTCTATTTATAGGATTCATAAAAATATTATAGGAAACATAAATATCTTTATATATATTTAAAATATAAATAAATATATTTATAAATAAATAAATTTATAAATAATTATATCTATATAATTTTTTAATAATTAAATTTTATATAAATAATTTTAAATTTCTTTCATATAATTTTTTTATTATGTTATTTCTACTTTTTTTAACATTAATATTATAATCAATTTTTAATTTTATATTATTATTGTATCATTTTTTCTATATGATGTTTGAATACATACATCAAAATTTTAATTTACAATTATTTTTAGTTCTTTTGTTTTTTTATTATTTTACTTATCGTTTCATATTTTATCATTTATAAATTTTTCATTTTTTTATTTATAAGATTTATATAGTTTTAAAATTTAGTTTTAAATAATTAATAATTTTATGAAGTTAATTACAAATATTTTAATTATAAAATATTTATATAAAATAAAATTAAATATTTGTTAAATATTATTATATTCGTATTATAACATTTTATAATTATTCTTAAAATCAAAATTTCTTTTTAATAAATTAAATATGTATTTATTTTTAAGAATAGTATTTATTGTTAATTATATTAATTAATTATTTTAATCTTAATTAAATTAATATTTATATACTAAATTTATCCTTATTTATATTTGATTAATATTTAACTAAATTTAATATTATTTAAAAAAATATTTTTTTATTAATTTAATGGTGGAATATTAATTTTTTAATAAATCAGAAACATTAAAATAAATATAATTTTATCTGATATTATTTAATTTTCTTTTATTTACCAATAAATTTTTACATACAAATAATTATTTTATTATTTTCAAATACAAATAAAAAAAACTTTGAAAACTTTTTTCTATAAATCTCAAACAAAATAAACAATAATTAATTACAAATATTAAAATAAAATAGCAAATAAATAAAATAAAATATATATAGAAAATGTATTTAATAGCCTAACAAAATCAAAATGTAAGATATTTAACCCCAATAAATTAAAGGATAGAATAAAATAAATTTGCCTTATATGAGAATTTAGTAAAATAAATAGAGTAATATAGTTATGAGCTAAAAAATATTATCGGAAGAGGTTACAGTAGTATAGTATATAAAGGATAAAATGACTAAACAAAAGAAGTAGTAGCAATAAAAGTTATAAACATGATAGAATTAAAAAATGAAATATAAAAAAAATTATTAACAAATGAAATATAATTAATACAAAGATTAAATAATGAAAATTGCATAAAATTATTTAATGTATATTAAACTACTAATAGGACTTATTTAATAACCGAATTTTGCAATTAAGGTGATTTATAGAATTATTTATAATAAAAAAATTACTTAGAAGAAAAAAAAGCTATAGAAATTATAAAATAAATTATAAATGGTTTAAATGAATTATATTAAAATAAGTATTTTTTAAATACTTATATAATATACATAATAATATTTATAAAATATATATAAAAAATTAAAATAAAATATTAGATTATACATAGAGATATTAAACCGGCAAATATACTTATTAAAAATGGAATCTATAAAATTGCTGATTTTGGTTTTGCTTAAGGTGCTGAGGCCGGAAATTAATCATAATATAATGTAGGAAGAGTTCTATATATGGCACCAGAATCTCTTTTGAATAATTAATATTATTTTAAAAGTGATATTTGGGCTTTAGGAGTGTTATTTTATGAACTTTTATATAAATCAATGCCTTTTTAAGCCGATACTGAAGAAGAACTTATTAAATTAATTTTGTAATAAAAACTATATTTTCCTATATATCCTTATGTTTCTGATGAATGTAAAGAGTTTATAATAAAATGCCTTTAAATTGATATAAATAAAAGAGCTAATCTAGAAGAATTGAAAAACCATGTATTAATAAAAGAAAAAAAAATATAATAAAATGAAAACGAATAATTGCCATTAATAAAAATTTAGGATAATGAAATAAATAATAAAAATTTAATTTTATAAATAAACTAAAAAGAAGAAAACTAAAAATAATAAACTTCTAGTAAATACGAAAGTAGTTAAATAAAAAATTAAAATTATTTAAAAATAAATGATAAATTTAAGTAAAATAAATAAGATATAATAAATATTAATTAATATTAAAAAGAGATAATGATTTAAGAATAAAATGGATAATAACATAAATAATAAATATAAGATACTAATATTAATAATATTAATAATATAATAATAATAATAATAATAATAATAATAATAATAATAATTATTATTATTATTAATTTTTATAAATGAATAATATTAATAATGATTACTTATATATAACTATTAATAATAATAAAGATGTAAAAGATAATAATACTCTTTTATTAAATTAATTTCCTATAAATAATAATAATGACAACTTTTAATGGACTACATAAACTAATTGCATTTATGATTTGAAAAACGAAATTTCGTAAAATAGAAGTAATGGAAATTCAAGCAAATAAAGCTTTTCAAATTAAACATATATATAAAAAACTTATAATGATGATTTATCATAATATTCATTAAAATATATGTAAAAAAATTAAGAAATAATTGAAAACCCTAACCATTAACTTTAAGCAAATGAAATATTGTTTAATAATTAGCCAGTAATAAATAATATTTATAAAGAAGATCTTAATAGTATTAAGAGTAAAAAACATTAAAACAGTTTTATAGATTAAGAAATAGAATTTTAATAAAAAAATTATTCTTAAGATTTTAATGTGTAAGAAGTTTTGGTAAATAATAATTATTTATTTTAAAATAACAATTAACAATAAAATTAATCTTAACAATAAGATAATTAATTTTAATAATAAAATAATCATTTTGAATATAGTAATAATAATACTTAACAAGAAAATAATGATTTTAGTTATAAAGTTAATAATAATTATAATGATAGTACTATAAATAAATATGAATATATAACTTTATAAAACAATAATAATAATATTATACCACCCTTAAATATATAAATTTAAGAAAATAATAAAAATGAATTATAAATTGATAATAAAAATGAAAATATAATATAAAACAAGACTCAATAATTAGAATATACACAAATAAATACAAATTATTTTACAAATTAAGATTTTCAATAATGTTATAATCCATATCCATTAAATTTAAAAAAGAAATCAGAAAATATTAAAATATACACATAATAATATAAACCATAAAAGATTCTCTATTTAACTGAAGGAAACTCAGAAGACGATGAATTATTTTAACCAAATTTTTAAATTTTAAAAACAGAAACTTAAAATTTACATAATATAAATGATTTTTAAGAAAATAACACCATTGTTTTAAGTTATTTTAATTTTTGTAGACTATTATTTAAATTAAGTAAATTATGTTAATTTTAGAAAGATTTGCTGTAATTGAAATTCAGATTCTTGTTTTTAAAGTATATTCTAATAATTTGTGATTAACTTAATTAAATGTTTGAGCTTTAAATTAATGTTTTGTAATTAAAAAATTTTTAAATTTACATACAAGATATTGAGTTTATTAACATAAGATACATTTTCTTTTAATATAAGAAAAAATATTAACTTGTTTTTTAACATTATTGGAGTTCGGTGGCTTTATAATAATTAAAAAATACATAAGATGAAAATTTTTAGGAATTTTTAAATGATAATTTTACCGAAAGTCTCCTTTTTAGAAACTACATATTACAATAACTAAAAAGTTACATTAAATCATAGTATAACTAAATTTTAATTCATAATATAAATATCTAAAATTTTTAATAAAGTGTTATTTTTTTGGAGTATTTATGCTATTTTTACGAATTGAATGAGTTTTTAATATTTAATGGTCAAAACCATTTAGAATTTGCAAGATTTTAGAAAATAGAAAAAGTTTTGGAATAAAAAATAATGAAAATTTTTAAAAATAAAATTAATTAATTATAGTTTAAATTAAAATAATGGAATATAATATGAAAATAAAAAAATCAATTTTATTTTTATTCATATATATAAAAAAATTAAAAATATACATAAATAAACCAAAAATAATTATTAATTTTATGCAAATTTATCTTATAAAGGTTTAAAAAGTATATCGAAATAATTATTTAGTCTATCTACATAAGTTACCTCTTTATTTTATAAAAGAGTGTAATCAAGCCATTTAAATATTATTTTTATAGAATAAAGTTCATTTTAGATTTTTTAATTTTTTGTTTCAATATAGTAAGCATCCGTAATATAAAATAAGGAATCTCCTACAGGACCTGCTTTTGTATAATTTATAACATAAATTCGTTCATAACTAAAATATGTATTTAAGTTTCTTCTAAAGATTTTCTAAAAAGTTATATAATCACTTGCTTTATCATATGCGACATTTTCAGAATTTCTATAAACGTAAAATTTGCGAATTTTTTTAAGTGAAAATTAAGTGTCTAACTAATTTATAAAAGCCTCAAATAATTCCAATTCATCAAGTATTCCATTTATTTCGATATTTTCTCCAAATTTAATTTCTATGTTCTTATTGCCTTCTGTTGTTATAATTATATTCTCTGCCTCAGATTTTCTTTTTTTTTTTTAATAATTATTAATATAAATCTATCTATAACAAGAAATAATAATTATTTTTACAAATTATATCCATATTAATAACCAATTATAGCTTTAGGATCTTAATCAGCTTAAATAGCCCTTGCAGGTGTAAAATTTCCAACATTAGTATTTTAAACGACAATATTAGATTGACAAATTTAGCCTAAAATACAATTATTATCTGCAGCAAATTAAACAATAAATGTATTTTCTGAGTTGCTATTCCTTTTTATTGTATAAGTACCCTAAGTACAAGAATTAGAGTTACAAATACAGCTTATTTTTTTCGAAAATCCCGCTTAAGGTAAAATTCTTTACGTACAAAAACCAAAAACATCACTTCCTAAAATAAAATTTGAGTCTCTAATTCCTCCTTTCAAAATAGCCGAATTATCCTCATAAGGAGATATTTTATTATTTGAAAAAAATGGGAAATTCGTAATATAATAATCTTATTAAGGGAACCAAAAATTTACATTTTCAGAAGCGACATAAAATACGCCTTAATAAGGCTCATTTTTATATATTACGCACGAAAGTTAATTTATTTAATTTTTGTAAACAATAAAATTCTTTGCATAATCTTCACAATAAGGATATTATTAAAAAAATTGAGCTTTTTAACTATTTTCTTGTAAACATATTTGATCAAAATTGTTTTTATCGTCTTATGTGCAGTCTTTATCGCAACAGCAATTAAGAGTGCATGCTTAGTTTTAGTCACATATACATGAACCTAAATCATAGTTTTCAAAAAGTTCAAATTCTATTGATGTTGTATAGGTTGTAGTGTCTAGTTGGGGAAGTGCATAGGGTATTTATTTTGTAAAAATGAAAAGGGAAAACAAAATTAAAATAGTTTTATTTATTTAATCCATTTATTTATTTTTTATTTAATATTTTTTAAATTTTTGTTTTTTTTTTTTTTAAAAAAAAAATAGTTTTTTTTTTTTTTTAAAAAAAAAAATATTATATATTTATTTTATAATATCTTAATTTTATTTATTTATATATTATTTTAAATTTTTTTTTTTTTTTTTATGGATCCTTAAAATTTTGAAGAAAGTTATCCAGAAATTAATTTATGTGATACATAATAAGAAGAATAACAGAATAATAATGAATAGGTTAACTATAAAGAAAATATTTAAAATGATTTAAATTAATAAAATGAAAAAGAATAATAAGATTTAACTGAAAAAGAAAATTAAATTAAAAATCTAGAATAAGAAGAAAATAGGATTATAAATATTGAAGATTTAAAACAAAAAGAAAAATTACATATTGATATGGAAAAAGAATAAGTTATTTAAGAAATTTTGCTTTTGAATGAAATTTTTAGAACAGATTGTTAAAAATCTAATGATATATAAAATTAAAATGCAATATTAAAGGAAGAAGTTAATATTTATAAATAAAATATTGATGAATTAATGAATTATATAGATAAAAAAAATAACTAAATATTAGTTTTGTAATATAAAGAATTGTTTAAAATATTTAAATAATAGTAATAATAAAATATTTGAATTATAAAAATATGGTAAAATTAAATTATATTAGGCTATGATTTATAAGAAAAACAATTAATTTTTAGAAATATACTTTAATAAATTATTATGAATATGTAAAATTAATTATATAATTTTTAATTTGTTTATATTTTATTTAATTTTAAAATAAAATTAATAAATGAATATTAAATAAAAAAAATTATATATTTATAAATGTATAGTAATAATTAGTTTTTATATTAATTTAAAAATATAATTATGTTTTTCTTATATTTCAAAAATGCAATGTAAAATTTATCTTATAAATAAACTATTAGAAGACTTTAAACACTTTAAAAAGTTATTAGTGCACTATAGTTTCATAAAAAATATTTACATATTGCATAAATATTTACAAGTTAATATAATATCTTTAAAATATAAACTTAAAATCAAAATAATTGAAAATATTAAAGTTTAATTAGATAAACTTTAAAATTAATAAAAGAAAAATAAAAAATGAAAAATATAATTATTATAATTTTTTTTTTATAAATTAATAAATTTTTTATTGATAATAATAAATAAAAATCATATTAAATATAAAAAATAGTGATAATATTTTTATAAATAACAATTAAAATAAATAAATTAATTTATTAAATAAATATAAAATTTATTTATAAATATATTTGTTCTTGGAATAATTTATAAAAACTAAATAAAAAAAATATAATATAAATTAAAAAATTATTAATTATAATAAAAATAAATAAAAAAAATACTCATATAAAATAAGAAATAATAAATATTAATTATAAAAAAAATTTATTGTAAAAT